AGCGCGCCCCCGTGCGCCGCCTCCCACGCCTCGTCCGGCCGCGAGAGGTAGAGGATGTACGAGACGCACCTAGGGTTGGGAGCAGGTCGCGGTCGAGGGTCGGGGTCTCGCCGCGAGAGGTGGAGGAGCGCAGCACGACGAACCGCGAGCCGATGACGTCGTCGTGGCAGAGCAAGTGGCCGCCGCCGCCGTAGACGTTGCACGAGCAGTCCGTCTGGTCGGTCAGCTCGGTGCAGCCCGTGAGCTGCCGCACCCACGCGCGGAATTCGGACGAGTAGAGCGCCGAACGCAGCGCCATCGTCCGCGGGAGTGCGGCGGCGTGGCGCGGGTCTGCCGGGTCGAGGTTGGCCAGGTCGCCAGTCTGGTACACCTTGAAGAGGTCGGTCTCCTTGAAGGTGCGCTGCAGTGACGCCAGCTCCTCGCGCACCGCCAGCAGCGCACGCCGGTCAAAGAGGCCGGGAGGGGCGCGCACGTGCGGGTACGGAAACGGGTCGAGGGCTGGGCACGCGCCGAGAGCGCCGGGCGCGAGGACGGGCTTGGCCTTTGTGGACTTTGATTTTTTCTTGGAGCCGAGCGGCTTTTGGCACATCGATGAGGGTAGCGCGGGACGGAGAGGCAAGAGGCCGGCTGCCCGCAGTGAGCAGAAGGTGGCACACGGCAAGCCCAGCTGCCAGCCAAAAAGAATCTATCCCGCGCCTGGAGCCCGTAACCCGACACCGATCATCCGGCTCGCTGGGTGCGCTTCTCAGTTCTCCGGCCCTGGATGTGAGGCTAATGACTGCACTCCAAGTGCTCAAAGGGTATGACAGGAGAAAAGACGAGGACTTAAAATCCCTGTGTGGTGGCGGCGTGCCGTCCTCCCATCCCTCCCTTGGGTTGTCCGTTTTCTTTCTTTCTTTAAAGAGCACTTGTTGTGTGTTGTGTGTTGTGGTGGTGTGCGGTGTGCGGGGTGTGTGTGTGTTGTGCGTTGTGTGTTGCGTGTTGCGTGTTGTGCGGCGGGCGGTGGCCGGTGTGGTCACCAGCCGCCAGTACTGCCTCGCGTCGCTCGGCATCGCCGGCCAGATCTCGCGCCACACGTGGTTCTTCATGTGCTGCAGCGCGACGTAGACCGTGTTCTCGCCGCGACCCGTGCGCACCGTCGGCTCCTCGTCGCGCAAATCGCCCCGCTCGGTCGCGTGCCACCGGCTCGCCCTCGGCGCGGTGATTCGCGTCGTCGCCAGCCACTTGCCGAAGCGGATCGTCCACCGCATCGTCGGGTGCAGACCGAGGGCCGTCCGCTGCATCGGCACGCTCTTCCCCGCCGCGGCCTGCGTCGCCAGGAACTCGCGCAGCCGCAGGCGCACGACCCGAAGCTGCGCCGACAGCGCCGGCCCGTGGGGCGCTAGCATCGGCCGCCCATCGCCACGCGCAGCTTCCTCCTGCTGCTCGTCATCCTCCGCCTCGAGGGCGTCCGCCAGCGCGCTGCGCCGCACGCCCCGGCGCACAGGAGGCGGCGCCGGCCGCACCTCGGCCGCCTCGGCGTCGCCCGCGGCACGGGCGCCATGCTCGCCGTCCACGCGGTCCATCGCCGCATCCCCATCCCCGTCTCCGGCAGCGCCGCCTGCGCCCGCGCCGGCCTGCTCTGGGACGGCGCGCCACCGCTCCTCGTCCAGCATGTGCCACCACCGCCGATCCGGGTAGCCGTCGTACTCGACCTCGTGCACGATCCGTCCGTCCCCGTCCTCCTCCCGCGCCATGACGGTCGCAGGGTACCACCGCTCGCTGTCGCAGAAGATCTCGAGGCGCGATCCGGTGGGCAGGACAGTGTGGCCGTCGAGCGCCGCCCTGGCATCCTCGCGCTGTCGCTTCCGCCGCTTCGCCTTCGTCTCCTTGCTGCGCAGCAGGGTGTAGTTCGGGCCCACCTCCGCCACGCTGTCCAGCACGTGGGCGGCGCTCGCCATCTCGACCGCGTCGTCCTCCGGCGGAAGCTCCGCGTCACCCGCGGCCGCTTCCCGAGCGCGCTCGTCGCGCATCCGCTCGTGGTGGGCCTGCCGACGCGCCACGCCGGCGCCCGTGTGCCTCGCCGCCGCGTCCGGCGACGGCATCGATGCTGTCCACAGTCCGAGCCTGACTGTCAATCGGACGAGCGTGACTCCACGACCGCCGAAAAGTCGAGCGCGCTCCCCAAATCTCGAACACATCTCGAACCGTCTCACATTGTACATACATACTATTTTTTCTCACCTGGGCGGGCCCAATTTTGCTCCAGGTGCCTCCTCGATTCGATCCAGCGTTCTCAGGCAGTCGCCTGGTGCGTGTTTCGTTTTCGTCATGGGAGGACAGCCCTGCTACGGCGTGTTCGAAGGACCGACGCGATTTGGGAGGCGCGTGTCCCACAGGGGACGCACAGGTAAAGGATCCCAACGGAATCGGGCCCTGTGACGAACAGGAGATACGGAAAGCCTTTGGGGCGGGCATGTGGGGAGGAAAGCTGCCGAACACGTGGGAGGTGATAGACGTGGAGATGTACGCGATACTCGCATACCTACGCAAAATGGCGAGCGCGCGAGCGACGCACAGACGCGCGACGGTGCTTAGTACTATGCGACTGCAAACCCGCGCTGCAGCAGATTGAGAATGCGCACCGCAAAGGGATGCCAAAAGGTCTGAGGGACTGGGAGAGAGGCGGTCTCCTAGAGGCGATTGCTCACTATAGATCGCAGTTAGAAGGCGGTGGTCTTCGTGTGGCTGTGGGTGCCATCGCACGTGGGAATAGCCTGCAACGCATACGCCGACGCGCAGCCGCTCGTTAGGCGCTTAGGCGAGTGACGGCCGGCACCCCGGGGCCTGGCGTGCCTCCCCCGTGGACTGAGCGCCTGGGAGAGCCACTCACGGCCGGCGCCTCGCTAAAGGCCAGCTAAAGGCTCTGTTCCACAACACCTGATCACCATGACCTCAGCCAGGCCGGGAGCCGGGTGACCATCCCCTAGACGTGCTACGAGCTGACTCTAGCTCGGGACTCGCACTCGGGTGGAGAAAGAAGGAGAATTTCTTGCCGCGAGCGGTACGGGTCCTAAATCCTATCCCTCTAAATCTATCCTGCACCTGCCCTCAATCTTCTTCGTC